TGTTCATTAGCACTTACTTCGCCAATCCACATTGTAGGTCAGTGCGCGTTGAGGAGTGACCCTGTTCAGATAACAGTAGAAAAATTCGACGCCATTGTTGGAAGCGTTAACCACTTGAATATGAATAAGGTTCTTGCCTTCCACTGTCACCACTAATATAAAAAAGACAATAAAACCAATTAATAGTAGCCAAGGCAACACTTTGATGTAGTTGGAGATATTAGTGATAACGAAAGCTGGATAATTTGGGCGGAAAAAAGCCTGGCTCAGGTTGATGTCATCAACGAAAATGCCAACATTAACAATGCCGTGACGTACCACATTTTCGGGTCTCGTTGCCTGTTGTGACTGCTTTGCACAGTTGCTTTCCATCCCGGAAGCCTTCAAACTAAGCGGGAAAAAGAACGAGGTTTTTTGTAAATGCTGAGCAGTAATTACTCCAACAATGTCACATTATTTCGGCAATAAGAAAGCCATCTACCTGCCACCTTCTCGCCAGGGTTCTGGGGAATTTCCAAATCAAATACGTTTGCCTATATTTGGGGCATTGAGACAGAGTCATGTTTTCGTCCACAATGAACCGTTCTGAAATGTTGAGGGTTGAAATAGTTTAACCAGTTGGAGAAAAAACTTGTTAAGTTGTTCACAGGAGCAGAAGGTTGAATATTAATTTCAATGTAAGGTCTCAGTGACTGCCCGGCTAACCTTTGGCTTCCTTGTTCTTAACGTATTGTTCCATTCCATGAATAGTCACAGGGTATTTACTCTTGATATATATGCTGTCGACGTTGGTCATGTTTGGCACCGTTATATTTGCTGTCGATATCTCGCCAACTACGTGGTATGGTGAGAATAATAAAAAGCTAGGGTTATGATTTTTTTATGTAACTAATAAGCAAGCTTAAAAATAAAATAAATGATGTTCGGGTAACGTACCGTCAGCGTACACACATCTGAATTTTGTGTTGCCAAGGTAGCAGAATGTGGGGTTTTCTTTTTTGTACGTAAAGTGTTTTTCCCAATAAAGCCGTATTGCTTAAATGACAGATGTGTAAGATTCTATGCTCTGGGCCGACAAATGCAAATTTAATCGTTGAAAAATGGTAAAGAAAAACATATCTCACATATAATTTTTCGCTGAGGACAGTGCTGAAGGTGGTTTCATTTTGCTCGTCAGTATATGTACGTTGATCCCAATCGCAGATTCCAACAGCCTGCCTGTAAACCAAAGAGATAATGTGAGAACATGCTTGTATAATTTGCACCAGTTTGTGCACTATGCCTAGGAAAAAGTGCATCGGTAATCATGAAATTTGACTTGGTAGTTTGCATATAGTTCAGTATAGTTCAGTATATTTAGGGTAGTAGGCAATGCCTTCGAAGA